TTGTGTGTTGTTTCTGATTTTCATTCTTCAACAATATTTCAAAATAAGAAAGAATAATAAAAATATTTAATGGCGAACTAAAAAATGAACTAAAATAGAATCAGAAAGATGTTTCAATCGATGACTATTTCATCTAAAGTAGAAACCTTACAACGAGAAATTGATTCTTTGAAAGAGTCAATAAACGAAATAAGGGATTTTTGTCATACTGTGATAAATGATAACAGTCAAATACAAAGGGAAAAGTTTAATATTGTAGAAAATAAAAAAAATAGCCAAATTGAAGAATTAGAAAATACGTGCAATAGACGATTTGAAGAATTAGAAAATACGTGCAACAGCCAAATTGAAGAATTAGAAAATACATACAAGAACCAAATTGAAGAATTAAAAATTGTGAATAATAACCGAATTAATAAATTAGAAAGTCAAATAGAAAAATGTGTTTCTACACAAAAGTTATATTCACAAAACAAAATTATTGAAGACATAAATAAGATTATAGAAGAAACAACAATGTCAAATGGATCAAATGAAATGGCTACTACTAAAGCAATAGAAACAATGATAGAAAAATTAAAAAATGAAAATAAACAATTATCTATTCAGATGAATGAAAATACAAGTCGAATTGAAACAAATGAAACAAATATTTTCATACATGAAATAGTGATAAAAGATATTTTAAAGAATATTCAAATACAAGATGCAAATAAATCATTGATTAAAGAATTGATAGAAGAAAAAATGAAGCAAGAAAATTTAATGGTCATGTATAAAGAACAAGAGTTACATCAAGAAAAAGAAAAATTAGATAACAAAAGTTCCAATTTAATTGAAATAACAAATGAAGTAGAAAATACCCAAAAAACTTATAATTCAACAGAAAAACAACCTGAAGTACCTTTAGTTGAATCTGAAGTTCAACAACTTGAAGAATGGACAAATAGAAAAGAGGAAATATATTATTTGATTCAAATAGATACATCAGTATTTGATCAAAGAATAAAGATTGATACATCAATCTTTGGAGAAAGAATAATGATGAATAAAGCACATATAATAATTATTATTGAAGATACAGAAGGAAATAAATTTGGAGGATATATTAATTCTAAAATTGATAACAGTATTCATGGTTATATAAATGATTCAAAATCATTTGTGAAAGTTATATAAATGATTCAAAATCATTTTTATTATGGATATATGATTCAAAATTATTTGTATTTTCATTAGAGTCAAAAGGAAGAATTGAAGGAATGTTGAAATTTGATATTGAACAACCACAATATGCATTTACTTTATATGGACAATCAAGGAATTGGTTGTGTAAATTTGGAAGTAATGATATTTGGGTTTTTAAAGATAATAATAATAAAGAAAAATCAGATTGTCGTCAGTCTTCCTTTGAATATAAAGGAATAAGAAATGTACTTTGTGGAGGAGAACAGTTCACACCAAAAAGAATTGTTGTAATTCAAATGAAATAATTTTTATAATTTTTGTTTTAATTAAAAATAACCAGTGATATTATTAACCTCCAACAACTGTATTAAAGAAACTGAAAAGACTATTTTCATTGCTTCAAATAAGGAGTTTGAATTAAATAACTGAAATAATAAATTGTATTTGGTTTATTAGTGAATAAATATTGATATAAAATGTATAAAATAATACATTTAAAATAACTGTTAAAGATATTATAATTCATTAAAAACTATCTTTTTATTTGATTTTTTTTGTCAATTAATAAATTCTTTATTCAAACTTCTTTATAAAAAATAAAAATATGACGATTAATTAAATACTAAAAATTTAACAATAAATATTTAATATGATGTGTTTAACATTCCCAATATAAAAAAATGAGTTTAGCAGTAGATTAAAGTCAAGACAAATACTTTTCAATGTAATGATTCAATCATAATATACGTAGCTATTTGAAAGGATAATTATTTTTTTTTAGATTTGCACATATAAAAGATAAAATAGTACTATTCACTATGGAAAAATAATTCAATTGATATCATTTTTGCCTGATAACCAAAAAATAATAGAAGTTCTTTTTATCATTGATTTATTCAACTTATGTAAAAAAATTAAAATAATTCATTATTTTTAACATAAACATTTCTTGTTATGCCTAGTATCATTAATTAATAATAGGATTACCGTTGATAATTAGTACTTTTATTATTTTTATAATAGTAATCACTTTAAAATGTGAATATTTAATTCAATATTCAAAAATACTTTTTATTATACCTCTATAGTTGACCTTTGTCACAGAATTGCCAACTTCTACTAAAGAATTGAATAAAAAACGTTAGTTTTGGTATAAAAATACTAATAATGACTATTTCACATTATCTAATAAAAAAATACAAAATATACTGCTGGTAAGTATTTTTTGATTATTTCATTGTAACTCTTTCATTTTACTATTTTTATCAATTTATGAATTTTATCTGAATAAAATATTAAATTTTCGTTGAGATGAAACAAATTGGATATAATTTTGATGTTCAATACCTTGTTCTTATTTATTAATCTAAATAACAATTATTACCATTACATGGTAGGTTCTAATAAATAATAATAACAAAAATCTATTCATATAACAAAACGACTAAAATATTATCATATGTAATTTCAATAAATTACTAACTATAAATAAAATAATACTTCTAGATTAAAGTATATAACCATGTTTAGACACGTGTTCTTCGTGAAAAATAGAGTTTTTAATTCTTTTTTGAGTAAAAATATGGGTTGTGATTATGAATATTCAGTCCAATAGTTATGGACCATTTAACAAACAAATTAAATAATAAACATTTGCTATATGCATCAAAATGAATATCACTGAAAAATAATTTAAAAAAAAAGACTTTTATGTGTATAAAATATTAATAACTTTTCAATAAATGAACATTATAAATATAGAATAAGAAGTACAATCTCATCCGTATAGTACGTTTCTTGAATAAAAACTTTTTTAATACTATTGTTTGTCTAAATATTATAATATTATAATAAACAAACAATTATTTTAACATTAATATGCTTCATTAATATGCCTTAACTTTTTTTAGACATTGAATCTACTTTTTTTAATTATTGAACGAATAGAAGAACCTCTTCAACAATAATATCTAATCTTATTTCTTAATAATTTTTTTTTGAAATCAGTTGTAATAAAACTAATATGAAGAAAGTATTAGCTTATATAAAAATGAATGGATGTCTATTTGATGAGTTTAATTTCATAAAAATAAATAACTTCAATGTATAAGAAATACTTTATTATTAATTGAACCGAACCAAACTGCAATAATTGAATGGAAAATACTTTAAATATTAAAAATAATGTTTATAATAAAAAAAGTTAGAAGAAAAAGATAGATCCAATGACATATACAAGAATAATACTACTCTTTAAAATATATTTATATATTTATTCCTTATTTTATTAAAGATAAAAGAATAAATAATGAAGTGAAGATAAATTGTCTAATTAAATTATAAAGTATTTATCTGACTTGTATATCATTTGAGGCAATAGTCTTTTTTAGAATAACATTTATAAAACATGAAAATACAATGGACAAAATAAAATAGTCAATTCTAATCTTCATTTGTTAACCTAAACTATCATCTTTGAATTGAAAAAACTAAATCTGCAATCAACAAATGAATAAAAATACTAAACACTGATTGAAAGTCATTTAGATTACTTCATCTTTTTTCGTTTCGCTTCTGAATCTTTCTTTAATTCCTTTCTTCTCTACTATTGATTTTTGTTTATTTTTATTTTGTTATATAAAACTAATATTCTTAAAAAAAGAACTTAAAAACAATGAAAAACAAAAAGCGATAATGTCACGAGATATGATGGTAGATCCATTACTTTCTGAAAAAGAACCACAATACCAAACTCAAGTGAGTGGATATATCATTACTGTTCCTAATGAAACTACACAAATTCGAAAATTCCTTGCATCAAATCAACGAATAAATCAATTCTTATTTCAACATAGTACATTTAGGGTTGAATTAGCCCCATTTGCAAAAGGAGGAGAACGTCTTGCTTTTCGAGCAATAAATGGACGTGGAGACAGAATTGTTCTTAAAAGATTTTTCCAACAAAGACCGCTTACAATGTTATTAGAAACAATTGAAAGACAATTAATTTGTATTTATTTAGCAAATACATTCAATAAATTAAACGTGTCACCAAATAAACTTCATTTCCTTCCAAATTATTTATTTATTCCAAGTCCAACAAAAGATTTAGATGGTAAAATTTTAACTCTTGAACAAACTGAACAAGCCGTTGCTGCTACATGTAGAACACCTAATTTTGTAGAACCTTATCTTAGTGGGTATTTTATCAAATATATTGACAACAATGGATGGATTAATGAATCTGAATTTCATTCGACATTACATGCATTTGCCCATTGGACATGGGTTCATACAAAAGGGGCATTATTGATATGTGATATTCAAGGTGTTAACGCCAATAATAAATTTTATCTTACTGATCCAGCATTACATCATATAGATCAAAATAAGTTTATGTATTCAGAAACAAATCTTGGTGAAGTAGGAATTTCTCAATTTTTTAGAACTCATCAATGTAATGCAATTTGTCAAGGATTACATTTACCAAAACATAAAGAACAGGTATTGCCAGACACTACAAAAGGTACTACAATTAACCCCAATGTTGATGCACGAATAAAACAATTTTATCAACATTCTCATCAACAAAATACTCCAATTCCACCTTCAAAACCATCAAATTTATTATTATTAATTAATAAATTATTATTTGCTCCAACGATTGGTAAATGTGTTGCTTTATTTCCATTTACTGCAAGTTCTGAAAGAGAAATGTCTCTTAGAGTTGATGATGTAATAGAAATATTATATAAATCGGATGGTTGGTGGATTGGTAAAAAAGGAGGTGTTCCAGGAATTTTTCCATCTAATTTTGTTCAAGAATTATTAGAAAAATTTTTGTTTGTAGCAATTGAAGATTTTTCTGGAACAAAAGGAATGTTATCTCTTATAAAAGGAGATCGTATTTATCTTCTTGCAAAATCTGGTAATTTGTATAAAGCAGTAAAAGGACCTCATGTTGGATTTATTCCAAAAACAATCTGTGCAAAAGTACAAACTGTTACAATGTAAAAATTATTTTAAATTGATATTTTTTTCATTTATATTCTTCTTCATTACAAGATTCTATAGTTTTATCTAATTCATGAATAAGAATTTTAATCGTTTTCAATTCTTTTTTATCTGCATTTAATTTCATTAATTTATATTCTTTTATAGTATCAAACCCAAGTTCAGTTCCTGGAAAATGATATTTATTTTGTGTTGGTCTTAATTGAATTTTATTCTTAGGTATATTTTGTTTCATTAATATAGGTGGAACTTCATTTGAAACAAAAGTAATTGTATTGTTTGCTGTTCTTAAATCAAGAATATCCTTTTTAGGATCTGTATTAGGAGGTACTTCATTTTCATTTAATTTTTTTGAATTTGTTATTATTCCATCAATAATAGGATTTTCTTCTGTTTGTCTTTTCTCTAATTCAGTAACAACATATTCTATTTGTTGTCTAATTTCTTCATCTGCCGCAAGAAATTCTTTTTTCTTTAATTTTGAAGATAATAATAATTTCTTTGATACATTAAGTGGTTTTTTATCTTCTTCTTTATCTTCTACTTTTGGTTTTCTTGAATATTTAATAATCCCTTTCTTTTTTACATCTTTTTTATTTTCTTGTTCTTTTGTTTTTGTCATTAAATTATCCTCCTCTTCAAAAAATATCTCATCCTCATGAGTATTTGAATCTTCATTCCACATAACTGGTATTTCTAATTTATATTTAATTCTATCTATTAAATTAATAGGTGTATGAATAGATGACTTATCACACATGTTGCTAAAACTAACAAAATTATAACAATTTTTTATAGTAATTTTTTTGTTTTTATTTTTTGTTCAAATAATATTAATAACAAAAAAACTATTTTAATTAAACCATTCTTTACTTAACCATTGTTCTAATTTAGAAAATCTCATCTTTTGTACTATTTTCTTCAAATTTTCTTCATTTGTATTATGAATCATTGTTGAAAATCTTAAAAATCTATCTCCAAGAATTGTTGAACAAAAAATCGATGACTGTTTAATTTGACCTTCAAAATTTTGAAATTCTTTTAATGAGAACCAATCACTCAAAAAGAAATCAGGATAACTTTCACTATCTTCTGAATGTTCAAATCCATTTGAAAATGAAAGTACAACACAATCTTCTTTTCTAATTCCTGTTTTAAGTGCATCCATTAATGCATAATTTGAAGGGTTTGGTTGAATTACCATTCCTGAAATACAATTACCATATGGTTTAAAAAGAAATGGAAGTGAACAAGACTTCATAATTACTTCATTAGCTTTTTCACTTCCATTTGCAATAACAAAAGAATTAGAAAGTTGTTGATAATACGTAAAAAATTTTCTTGGAAATTCAGAAAGGGTTTGATTAGAAAATAAAGATGAGCATGCAATATCATAATAACGATTAGTATATTTAGTTGATGAATTGAATCGTCGTTTTTTTGAGACTCTAGTGTATTTTTCTATTAAAGGAAAAACCTTTTCTAAAAAATCTAAAGACAAACCTTTTGCAATTGAACCAGCAATAAATGCTGATATTCCAACTCCTGCAATTACATTACATTTAGCAATGAACATTGGAAATTTTTGTATTAATTTTTGTAATACATAAATTTGAAGAATTGGATTATCTGAAAACCCATCTAATGATAATATTCTATATTTTTGATTTGGGACATAAGTTAATGAAGTATCAGTTACTAATGTATCAATAGGATATAAATTGCATAATTCTTGAATGAGTATTTCTAGTTTTCTTTCCCTGTATTCTTTTGTACCTAAATACAATACATTCTTTATTATTTTTTGGGGGTTTAATGATATTCCTAATTTTGTTTCTTCTTTATTATCATTATTTGTTTCTTCTTCTTTTGTTTCTTCAATTTGAAACATTCTTTCTTCAATAATTGAGCTTATATCATCTTCAAAGTCTTGGTCAGACTCAATCTCCTCTATTTCTTTTAACGTTTCTTTTTGAACAGGTTGAACAATTTTTGTTTCTTCTTCTGGTTTTATTATTTCTTTTATTTGTAATGTACTTTTTATTGATTTTGTTATTTTTTGTGTAAAACTCTCTTTTTCTTCATCAATTTTGGTTATTTTTGGTGTGTAATTGTTAATCAACGCTAGAATTTCTCTTGATTTTACTGATTCAATAGCATAATTACTTGGTGTTTTTTCATTCTTTGTTTCAATGTCTGTACATGCTCCATTTTTTAATAATAATTCTACATTATCAATTATTCCACATAAACATGCAAGATGAAGTGGAGTTTCTCCATAGTTATTTTGTGTATTTAAAAGTGATGGTTGTAAATTAATAATTTTTTGCATAAGAGTTAACATATCTCCACCACTTCTTTTTGAAATTGCATGAAGTAAAGAATTACCTCTTCCATTGATAACAAGAAGGTTTGCTCCTTTATTAATTAAGATTTGAGTGATATTGTCTTGTCTTGCTTCAATAGCAGTATAAATAAGAGTAGAACCAATTACATTTTTTGTTTCGATTTTTTTAGGGAATACTTCCAGTAAATAAACAAGTATCTTTTCATAACTAAATGATATTAATTAAACTTAAAAGACATTAAACACAAATTTCATTCACAAACCCCATTGCAACAACACAATGAATAAATTTTGGAAACATTTCACTTAATTCTAACCAATTTTCAATATGTAATGTTTTTAAATCTGTCAAAACTTCATCTTCAAAACCATTTATCAACTTATCTTGCATTAAAATAATTTTACCTTCATTCTTTTCTTCTAAATCAAAAAGAGTTTCTTCTTCATGAGGTAATACCTGTAAACTCATTAATTCAATTGAATTAAGTTCTTATTAACCCAAAAAAAATAATGAAAAAAGAAATTAAATTAAGCAAGATAATCAGAAAGGAATTTATCCATATCCTTATATGTTCTTTCTTTTTCATATTCACTAATTAAAGATGTACCATCAAATAACTTTAATGTAGGGAAACCTTCAATTCCCATCTTTTCACAATAACCATTATATTTATCACAATCAATTTGACAAACTGTCACTTTTGTTCCTTTATATTTTCTGAATAATTTTTTATAATCATAAGACATCATCTTACAAAAACCACACCATGGTGCATAATACCTCTACTTTTTAATATTTTTTTTTCTTGTTTATTCATTTATTCAACAAACAACAAAAAATTTACCACCTTTCTTTTGCTCTCTCTCTAATTGTTGTGGAGATACATTAAATGAAGCAGAAACAAAAATAATCATCAAAAATAATAACATAAAATTGAATTGCATAAAACTACCTTAAAAAATATATTTTTTTAGTTCTTTTTTGATTTTAGATTGTATTAAAAATAAAATTAAAAAAAATATTTTATTTAAATGTCTTTTTAAAGTTCAAATTATTTAGTTCTTTTTTCTTCACCAATTTCACTAATCAATCCATTTCTATAACATTTTCTTGGAATTTCATAAGCTTTTTCAATAGATTCTTTAGGCCAAATAAAATTAAGGAAACAAGAAATTAATAATAAGAAATAATGTAAGAAGAACATAAAAGGACCAGAATAAACACCTTCATAATACATTCTAAAGAAATAAATATTGTTGTTTCTTATAATGTTTTAATTACTTTCATTAATAATAACAATTATCCTTTAAATAACAAAAATAGAATAAATAAACAAAACTTATTGAAATGACTGGGAAGATCATCTTGTGGCTTTTGAAGAACTTCATGATAAACTTGTTCTGTACGAGTTGCAACTCTTTCCCATGAATAAAACGATTTTACTGCATTATGAAATTCCCAAGAACGTTCTTCTTTACAAATTGGAATTACTTCTTCAACTTTTTTACATAAATCTTCAACTGTTGGCATTGAATATTTAATTAAACTATTTGGAAGTACTTCTTTAATACCGCCAACATGAGTTGAAATAACATGTAACCCACAACTTAATGCTTCAATAATTGCAATACAAAAACCTTCTGTTAACGAACAATTTAAGAAAATATCACCTTGAACTAATACGTCACGAGTTTCACAATGTTGAATAGCACCAAGTAATTTAACTCTACTTTGTAATTGATACTTTTCTCTCATTTCTTCAAAATTTAACATCATTGGTCCATTTCCTCCAACAATGAAATTTACTTTAGGATATTTAGAACAAATATATGGAATAATTCCAACGGCTAAATCAATACCTTTACGATATACTAGTCTACTTAAAATAACAATATTAATATTATTTGGATCTCTTTTACTTATATCTGGTTGAAATTTACTTGATTCTAACGCATTTGGAATAACATATATCTTCGTTGGATCTCTTTTTGCTCTAATACACATATTCTCTTTAGTACAATGTGATACTGCAATTGCTCCATCACTATTTGCTAGTGAATATTGAAGTACTGAATTTAACATAATACTAGCAAGTCCTTTTAATCCAAATAATGAATGTTCAGTAAGAAAAACTCTAATTCCTAGTAATCTTGCAAAAAACATTGACTCAAGACTTATTGCTGAAAAAGACTGATGTGCATGTAATATTTGAATTTGTTCTCTTATTAATATATTTCTAATCAATGCATGTTCACTCATTCCAGTTGGAAAACAACATTCATTAAACATTCGAAGTAATGGTAAATAATATACTTTAATTCCATTTTTTAATACTCTTACTCCTGTTCTATTCCCATATTGATGTGTTATGACAACAACTTTATGTCCATGTTTTACAAAAAAATGTGCAATTTGGTATTGATGAAATTCAACTCCTCCCATATTCGGATAAAAGAAATCTGATGCTAAACAAATACGATAACATCCTGGTGCTGGCTCCATTTATTAAAAAATTTTTATTCTCTTTTCAGTTGTTTTTCCTAATTTTTCATTTTTTTCAAGAAAAAATTAAAAAAACCCTATTTTTTTTGTTAAACGTAAATTCTCTTTGTTTTTTTATTTCTCTTCACAATAAAAAAACTACACCACCACAGAAAATAAAAAGCAATTAATTAAGTATTA